ACCTAATTGATTCTGTGATTCTGTAAGGTATTGAGGGTGGTAAGGTTTTGGGAAGGTAAGGTATTGGGTATGAAATCTCCTCAGTTCTTGGAACAAAGCCATTCGGTTCTCTGCTTGTCTAGCTAATGAGATGCCCTGCAAGCTGCAAAAGTCTTGGAACCAGTCTGTTACCTAAAAAAGTCATACATATTTCTATCAATGTCAGCCTTCCTCATAAAAAGAAGGGGCTTGCTATGCTACCCACAGAGCAAACTGCAAACTCACAGCTAACAGCAAAATTGAGATGAGGGCATAAACAAATAAGGATATCAAAACTATGAGAGCATAAAGGAGGAATAAAAAAAAAAAAAAGAACATGAAGAATTGTACATATGTAATAATACTATACAGCTATGTCAAACACCACAGCTGATGGCCTTGACTTTGCCCAAAGAGCTGTATAGTAATTATGGCTTAATTCCATCTTTTTATACACACCCTTGAGCTGGAAAAGTACTGAGTGCTATTAATATAAGCTAAAGCAGCCCCAGTAATCCCTCTAGAACACCAATAATCAGTTTCTAAAGTCTCCTGTGCCTTAATTTCCATGGCCTGGCTCTTGTCTAAGGGGGCACAGAGTTTTCAGTGACAGTGCAGACCTCAAGTCTACTGTGAATCATCTTTCAGCTCCTTCATGGGCATGGAGGGGATGGGTTTGTGATGCCTGGATTATGGACTTGCAGTTATATTCACAATGCTTGATATACAGAAGTAGGTTAACCAAGCTGACTAGCAACCTCCACCCCTTAGTAATAACTACTGGAACCCTCAAGCCTCATACCTATTACTCTGCCGAGGCAAAATTCATCACTGAGATGCCAAATAAACAGTGCCTCTGCAGCATCCCACTGCATGGCAGCACCTGAGAGGATGAAAAGAATTCCCTCTGGCTTCATCTATGCATTAGCACAGACCTTTAATTTTCTGTGTGTTTACTAAAAAAAAGAAAGCTGGTGAGAAAGAAAAGGAAATGCAAAAGTACATAAGCAGCATTTGCCAGAAAAGTTGCAAACCATTCACCACGCAGTTAGGACTTGAACCAAAGCCCACTGACGTCAGTGGGCTGAGGATCAGATACTTATTCAGCTTTTGGAGCTGATTCATCTTTGAACTGACAACTGCATATTTAGGCTGCAGTCTCCATATATATCTTTTTTTGCCTCAAAGCTGTGTCCAGTCAAGTTTTTAATACCTCCAAAGGTAGAGATTCCACAGCTTCTCTGGGCCTTTGTGTCACTGTTTGACCATGTTCATGAGGAAAAATAAATAAACACTAGTATTTTAGTAATATGGAAATGTCCCCTATTTTTGTTTTCATAAAATCACATTAAATTTGTCATACCTTGTAATGCTCATGAAAAAACATAAAGGAACAGAAGCAGATAAAGGAAGAGTCATATATTGAAAAGAACCAAGAATAGAATACATGAAAATAACTTAGGTTTGGCTATGTCAAAACAGACAGAGACCTGAAATGCATTGGCTTGTACACAAATGTGCTCAGACAGTGGCTTACTGATAAGGTCCTCACCTGATCTCGGGAATATGGAGTATCCACTACGCGTTTGTCTGAACATGCTGCTAGAAGAATCTTCATGGCATTTAACTGGAGCAATATTTCACAAGCCATAGTATCAAAGAAAGTAATATTGGCAAGAGCTGCTGAAGCCAGCAGGAAAACTTCACCTGATGAGGCTTCTTGGCACAGTTCTAAGAATGCAGAAAAGAAGTTGAATAAAAGTCATTGCAAAGAAAACATGGCTAAGTGTTTGAAAACAATATTTAAGCATCTTCAACTTGCATTACTAGTCTTAGTATCCAAGACCAAGTTCATAATCATCAAGACAAAAAAACAAAAATAAAAAAATCAATTTTGTCAATTACTTATCATAGATTAGTTCAGGTTGGAAAAGACTGCTAAGATAATCAGCTCCAACTGTTAACACTGTCAAGTCCACCACTAAACCATCTCCCTAAGAGCCATATCTACATGGGCAATTCAACCACTTCCTTGGGCAGCCTGTTCCAGTGTTTGACAACCCTTCAGTGAAGAAATTTTTCCTAATATCCAATCTAAATCTTCCCTGGCACAATTTGAGGCCACTTTCTCTTATTGTAACACTTGTTGCTTGGAAGAAGAGACTGACACCCACCTCACTACAACCCCTAATGAATTACATAGTCTACCTAGTATACCATTCTACAGTAAATATTTCACTGGTTGTTGTTCAAAATAAAGCTTGATATAGCTAAATAAATTAAATACAGGAGGCAGAAGGCTAACAGCAAATGATCCATAAGAGGATAATTCTGTTATCTATCCCCCTCTTTAGAACAAGATATGTACACATTTTTCCTATCTCTAAATCTGCTCCTCTATAGTCAAAAATCATCCTGCATATTTTCCAATAAAAAGTGCTGAAGAGACAACTACCTTTTAATTCCTTGCACACATGTACTTTAACTAAGATGTGAATCACCTGGTAATGGGATTTCAGCATGGTTTAAAAATTAAACATATTACAGTAATTCAATTACTGAGTTATAAATATTACAAGGAAACTGGTGCATGATTACTGACTGAAATGGCTCTTACAAAGTTATACATGTTCTATTTTTAATGCTCACATTTCTTGGGCAGAATATATACTACTAAAATTCCTGTAGTACTTAAACAGTGACAATTGAGGAAATGATCCACCAGGCAATACCTTTTGGATATGCTGTTCAAGTTATCCCTTGACTGTGGTCCACTATAATAACCTGGAAAATCATCTTAAATAAGTCAGGTCAGATGCCTCCAGCAGTCTAGCTATAGCAGAACAAGCTCAGCACAGATTGATTCTACCCACTGGATTCAGGGCAGGTTCAGGGAACAAGCTTCTCTATCAGTTGCTGGACATCAAGAATGAATTGTTCCCTTGATTTCTGCAGCACTAGTTCTGTTTTGGCCTAATGAAGAATGCCTAAATACATCTCAGATAATTCCCAGCCACTGCAGAATCCTCAAGCACTGATACTACTATATTCTTTTTTTTTTGTTCTATTAAAAGAAAAAGAAAAAAGAAAACAACACAAAAACATGCACGAAAATTGAAGTGCTGCAGTTTAATTGTAACCATTGGGCTCACTAGAGAAATATCCGAATGTACTGATCTATTATACATGAGAAATCAAACTAGATGACCCAAACTGTAAATTTTGACATGGAGCTCTGGGAAACTGAATTTCTAGATCAGAGAGAGGAAGAGAAGCTTCTGGTATTTGAGAGGGATGGAGCTGAGCGCCGGAAAGAAGATATTCCACTCTTTAGAAAGTAATGAGAAATATCATCTATTGGGGGATTTTTTTTTAATGAAGTGTCCTCACTGACCCAAGTTAAGGAAAATCTTGCTCTTACCTTTGTATCATTTTACCATGAATGAGAGGCCTAGACAAGAAAGACAGCTCTTTTATTTTCCCTATAACAATGCCCATAAATTACACTACCCTCTGCTTTTCTCTTGAATTATCACACAAATGTAGATGTAGTGGTGAGCTTGAGTTCTAGCAACTTTAGAAAATACAACAAGTATAAAGGTTAGTAATCAGAGTTGGAAGGGACCCTTGAGGATCATCTAGTCCAACTCCTGGCCCTGCACAGGACATTCCCAAGAGTGTGCCTGAGAGCATTGTCCAAACACCTCTTGAACTCTGTCAGGCTTGGGGCCATGACCACTGCCCTGGGGAGCTGTTCCAGTGCCCAACCACCCTCTGGGGGAAGAACCATTCAGGCCCTTCACCATCTTCACTGTCCTCCTTTGGACGCTCTCCAATAAGTCCAACAATAGCTCTTTTACAGACAAACATTGGATGAGAGGATACTTTGCTGAGTCTTTCCCGCGGCTCTCCTGGTAGATTTTCACACACATACTATTTTTACAAGTATGCATAAATGCTATTTAAAAGTGGACTGGAATAAAAATAAATTACGTAACTGCAGAATGCTCTGATTCAGAATTCAGAATAGTTCTTTTATCTGTTAAGGGAAGATGGACAAACATTATTTAGGGAATATTTCAAATGAAAGAGTTCTACCCCAACCTGGTTTTTTAACTGGAAACTCAGAAGTCCCATAAAGAACTTACTGACAAGGGCTGTCACAATTTCTTCCATATTTTCCAGAAAGCTGCTGAGATGCTGAGTGAATGTGAGATGTGGAGAAGTGATTTGTGCAATTACTGCTGCGGCTTCTGCGTGAGTAGCTTCGGAATGGCTGCTATCAGTGAGAATGTCAGCCAGGCACAGAATCCCATCAACCTATGGAAAACCAATAGGTGTATGTTAGAAATACTCTAAGAGATACTTTTGCAAGCAAAGATGGTTTCCTGGTTCTCTTTTCTTGACTGCGACTACACTACTCAGTTTATTTCCAAAAATAACTTTAACTTGGTGGCATTTATGATATAAGAAGTTTCAATTTAGCAAATACAAATGAGTTCAATATACAAGTTTGTTGACCAGCAAAAAGTCTTACGTATCCTTCTCGCTTAATGTTTCTGTTGAATTTATTTTGGTCAAAGTCTTTTCTGACCGGACATCTCAAGTTAAACATTAATCCAAAAATAAGTTCTGATCAGCAAATTCTAACTGCTACTATAACACAGCCTCATTTGAGCTCTTGTCTGAGTGTGTCTTACTGCAAGACTTGAACCAGAATGTGCAGTAAGCTCTAAACAGACATTGTTCCCCTTGCTTTTCTGTGAAGTTGTCACAAAGCCTCGTGCAGTAAGATCTAAACAGACATTGTTCCCCTCGCTTTTCTGTGAAGTTGTCACAAAGCCTACCTGTATAGGATCAAAAAATACTATTAAGACAACTCTGGCCAAACTGTTTTTGATGAGCTTGTACAGCAAAGCTAGGTCCACATCTCTCTTGTTTACTTTGAAGAGAAACAGAAGAATGAGTGAAAAGATGTAGCTTTCTGCTTTTACAGTGTTTGAAGTGTTCTTACACACTTCAGACAGGTAGATCATATATGTACAGCTTGTTCTATATTGTAAGAGAGCCACTGACACAGTGAAAGACAGCAACAGAGCACAGCCAATGGGATCATCTGTTAGCAACCAATTGCAGCAAGGGAACGTTCTCTGTAGACAAGGGCATAATCTGTGAACTTTCAAATTAACAGCACTACATTTCTCCCCCTGTTTAGCATATCCATGAATAATTCATCATGTTGACAAGCAAGTACTTAGATCACAGAATTATAGAATCATTTAAGTTGGAAAACACCTCCAAGATCATCGAGTCCAACCTTTGATCACCACCTTGTCAACTTGACCATGGCACTAAGTGCCACATTCAGTCATTTCTTGAACATCTCCAGGGATGGTGACTTCACCACCACCCTGGGCAGTCCATTTCAATGCTTTACAACCCTTTCTGTGAAGAAATACTTTGTGATGTCCAACCTGAATCTCCCCTGGTACAGCTTGAGGCTATGTCCTCTCATCCTGTCTCTAGCTGCCTGAGAAGAGACCAACCCCCACCTAGCTACAAGCTCCCTTCAAGTAGTTGTAGAGAGTGATAAGGTCATCCCTGAGCCTCCTTTTCTCCAGGCTAAACATCCCCAGCTTTGAACACTTTGTAGATACAAAGAGGAATTATAAAGACTTAGTACTGAAATATGCTTCAACAGTCGAACGAAAACAAACTCACATTTGTGTTGTACACTCACTGACTCATTCTTAGGCCTGTTGTTCAGACTGCATTCTCTGTTAGTTCAAAGCTTCCTCAGAACATCCATGTTAAGATCTATCCATTATCTTCAGTAAGGGTATTTAGCAAATCTCTTATTCTCATTTTTGTTATTTATTAATACAGAATGTTGAGTTATCTTAGTTACTTATCCTGCAATGGGCATGAATTAAATTATTTGTTAAGCACTGACAGTTACTGCATTTTACAAGATAAGTTCTCAGATTGATGGGAGTAAAAAATACCCTCTGGAAGATTATTCACTGGGATTCACTTTTTAATAGGCCATAGACTATATCACTCTAAAAACATAGATAAATACAAAAGAAATTATACCTCTATTTTTCCTCAGATCACAAATGGGATTTAGTATAGAAGCTCAAGTACTGGCAAAAAGAGGAAGAATAAATTTTCAACATTAAACTTTTTCTTGATAAGCTTTCAACATTAATCTGCCTACAGCAAAATATTTCTCCTTGGTTATGGCAGAATTCTACAGCTTGAAACAGCAGATTCACATAATTCACTTGCCTTCGAGGTATATTAATAGATCTCAGTGTCAAGAATTAATATATGTCCTCACAAGATGATTTAGTACCCAAAGTGTGCTAGACAATATCATATGCAAAGCCCCCCAGTTTTTTCACCTTGAAACCTTCCTAGATCACACCTTGTCTGGGGTCCAAAGGATGCTAACAACAACAGTCAGTATAAAAAGTTAAACATATTTCAAGGTGTTCAAAAAATACTTCACATGAAAGAAACTTCTTCTAAGATCTGGTCAGCACTCTTCAGCTCAAAATGCACTGGTTAAAATCCATTTAGCCAACTCTTATTCAATGACCTCAACAAAATCACTTTAGATTAGTTATATGTTATTTTAGAATAAGTAATGGCCTATGAAAGACAGGTACGAACATATGGCTAAGATTTTTCTATCACCACTGATTGTGTAAATCTACACTATAAAATAGAAGCTTCTAACAATACAGAGCCGTACTCAACTTTTAAATCACATATTTGTTTTCTTTATTTGCTAAGTAAATGTTTTTGGAAATTGGGAGTTACTGAATTGTAAAAGAGAAGTGGGTATGTTTTTAATTCAGCACAAAGAGGAATTACATATTTTGGACCTATGCAAGCCAGCACTAGTTATTCTGCTTCCTCTTAAAAATAATGCAAATACCAACAAATTTAGCCTAAAATTTGTTCTATAAACTTTTTTTCTCCCATCTTAAATATAGAAAATAAAATCATTCTACTTCAGCAGGCAACCCCATTTATAAGTGTCTAGCAATAAATTTTAAAATGACAGGGGAACAATCTAATAAAAGCACTTTAACATCCAAAAAGAAAGTGCTGCTCAAAGCATTTTTTATAATTAGCTTTCACACTGAAAGGGACTTTGGATGGCTGCCCTGTTTTCTGTTTAATTTTGGTGAAGTAATCAGCTAAATGTCAAATCTGTTCATCACCTTGGCAATACAAAAGAACTAGTTAGCCAGATAATGCAAACAAATGAATTCCATGAATGCAACAAGATGCTGTGGAGACCCTGCATTTGAGGAATGGCATTCAGTAAATGCTTATCACTAATATTTCAATATTGATAACTGAAAAAATGCCAGGAACTTACATCCCTATGAGCATAGCTCTGGTACAGAAACTTCATCCAAGTGACAGAATAACTGTGTGACTACTCTAATAATCCATGTGACAGAATAACTGTGTGACTACTCTACTGGATAGATCAAGTCTTCTGAAAGGAAGTAATTTCTTTTCTTTGCAACAGGAACGAATGAGTTCTGTGGCAACACTCTTCTTCTTTCAGGATACCTGTTCTTCCTCCTAAAAGTATTAAATGAAACTAGGCATCTGTTAAAGATACCAATACAAGACTTGGGATGAATTGCATTATTGACTTCATGATTTGAAATATTACACACAACAGCAGTCTTAACTCTGTGCTTTCCACAAGGAAGTTCAGGGTAGACTTTCCATGCCACTCTGGGGACCAAGATCCATTGTCCTCTTTCTAGTAATGTCTGTGTATAAAATGCTGCTGAAGGCCTTTTCTCATCATAGGACTTTCTCTACCATTCCTGTTTTCCCACTTTACATTCAGATGATCTCTACATATTGGTAAACTTTCTCAAATGTATTTTTTGGCCTTCCCTGAATTGATGTCCTGAGCCATTTTGCTGAGATTGGAAAGTCTTACAGGCTATCAGCTCACTTCCCACTGCCAAATGCACAGATAATACTATCACCCTACAACTGGGTGCCTCTGGCAAGCAGCACCAGCACATTCCAAAGCAGTTTTAAAGGAAGAATGAAAGGGAGATGTTAAGATTCAGATATAAGACATCAAATGTGGTAACAAAATCACAAAGGGGATTGCCTCTTAAACATTGTCTCAGCCTTACCAGGCAGTAGAGGAGAACTCAAAAGCAGAATCTGCATCAAACACTTAAGAACCAATAGATGAGAGCTGTCTTTATCTTTTCACACATGCTGTGTAATAGCAGCTCCAACTTGAAGCTAGGACAGGTTAACTATATAGGTGAAAACATGAACATTAGCAGACTACACCAAATATGTTTAGGTGGATAAAAACTCAAACACATCAGAATTTATATTATGAGGAAGAGCGAGGCAGAGAAGGAAGGAAGGAAGGAAAAATTATTGTATTCACAAAATGTTTCAATGTCTTCCTCAGAATTCTTTGAACACAATCTACTTTGCTCCCCAGACCATCACACGAACCATGAAGTCACTTCACTATTCTGCAGCTCCATTGAAAATGTCATCCAGCAGAACCCATATACTGTTACTTTGATGACTTATTAATTGAATTCCTGATCATCAAGGCTAAGATAATGCAAATTATGTAAACTTCCATTACTTATTCTGCACCTGTAGAAGACCTACAAGTCTTGTTTAATTTCTACTTCCCTCCATCAGAATGTGGTCAAGCTAATGAAGAGGTATTTGCTCTTCCCTACATTTAGCCATCAAGGAAGAATATGAAGTTGATCTGATTTGTATAAGGATTATTGCTACATCGCATAAAAAAACCCAAAAGAGACAGTTGGCTGTATCAGCCTGAAGGATGCATTAAATATGGCAATGCCTAAGTATCAACCTTGCAGCCATGCTGCAGGGGGGAGCAAATTGCAGAGCAAGATGAAAGAAGTTCCTTAATCGGGGTTGACTAGGAGTGAAAGGATAAATTGTGTGCAAATCTTTTCTCCCTATAAAACCTAGGGAAAGCAGTCATGCTCCTCAGAGTGCATCTTCTTTGGCACTCAGAGATGATTTAAGCTTGTTGCAGATAAAAAGTACAACTGTTTGTCAAAGAGGTAATAGAGAATAAGTCATTTTACAGAAAGGATTGACAAAATCAGTAAGATCAATATATAGACTTCTCTCTTGTCTTTGCTTCAAGGATAAGAGAATAGCTGGCTTTGAAATCCCTCAGTTTTGAGGACTGATGTTAAGGGTAAGACAGCCTTTTAAAGTATTATTTCTGTGGTTGAGAAAAGAAACCAGGAACTGCA